TAAGTATAAGAAAAAATTAAAAAAAAGTATTCATCTAATTTTTTTAAATAGAAAAACAATTTTTTTTATTTTTTATTTATAGCATGAGGTTTAACTAAGAAAAACAAATTAGTTAATTTGTAATAATGTTTTGCAGTTAACATTAAACAAGCTTCTACATTTTGCACCCCATCAAATGCCTTAAAATGAACACTAAAAGTTGTTTATACCAAACAAAAAGTATCATCCTAAGTGAAACAATCTACGTGCTACAAACGTACTGGTCAACATTCATTGAACTTTACACCAAAAGAAAAAAATTAAGCAATATTACATTATTACCAAACAAAAATGTTTTGCCTTAAATGAAATAGTCTATGAACTACAGCGGTACTGCTCAATGTTCATTTGAACTTTACACCCAAAAAAAAATTACATTATTACAAAAATAAATGGCAACTACCATAAGCTTGACAAAACGAATCTCAAAGTGGTCCATGCTAAAGCTTTTGAAATGGAACAAATAATAACACGAGATGCTACCAAACTAAAGGCCGACAATATTTAGCTCTTACATATCATCAACACTTGTGCTCAATTTCAATGCATAAATCAAACTGATACAAACGGTAATTTGATGATCCTTCAGTCTAGTAGATTTTATAAATTTTATAAACAAATGTTTGAAAACAAAACTAAGAAAGTATGTGGAAAAATGTCAGATCAATGACAATAATTCAAAAGCTTGATTTTAGTTTTTCATTGAACTAATACATACATGTTAGCAAACATTCAAATTATTGCATTGAAATATATATTAACGATGTTAAATTATTCAGAATACAATTTACATATTGATACTATACATATACACAAACAAAACTTCTGTGAAACGGTCGGGGTCTCTACAAGCTTGGGAAAAGTGTGTGGATAATCTTCCTCACTAGGCTTGTACCTATTGATACGTTCCTACGAGCTTGGTGAGAAATGCTAGAACCCTGCCTGTCAAGAATACTACAAACTTGATCTCCATTCTAGAGGGAGAGAAAATCGCTAGAGCCCCACCGCTTCTGACAGCTCATTCGTGTGGACCAAATCATATGCCCTATTGTTTTGTCAAAAGCCTTGCTGCAGCTGCATCATCTCTCCTTCACATGTCGAAGATCGAGCCAAATAAACTTTGTTATATGTCTACACACACTCGGAGTCGCGTAGAGCCCTAGGTGATTTGATCTTTACTTCCTTTGGCTAAACATGCCAAGCAAAATCGATCCACTTCCGCTTTGATAATAAAATTGAACTTGCACTACTTCGCTATTTTGTGACCAAGTATCTGACTCACTTTGCCTCAAATGAAGAGTGCACAGTCATCGCATGACTATGACACTAAGCAGACCACAGTCGCTTAACACCGCATCGTGTGTGAAGCACACATTTAAAACCACATGTGTTCATAAACATATTCATTGTGCCTTAAGGGATAATTCATCAAAGGCATAACCTTTACATGAAAGTTGATCATAAATTTGAAATCATACAATTTTAACATCAATGTTAAGAGAAGCAAAAAAAAGAAACTAACTGATTGTGTGGCTTTTGCTTTCTATTAGTTCTTTCACATGTTCTCTCAATTCTCTCCATTTTTCCTTTTCTTCTTTTTTATTTTTTATTTTTTTTAGTTCCTTCCAAAACAAATTCTAAACTTCAATTTCCACACTTTTACATATTCATTTATTTTTTCCTTTCCTTCAAAAAAAAAAAAAAATAGATGCTCTAAATTAATAATTCTTAGAAGAATGGAAGGACACAAATAAGCATAAAGCACATGACTACAATTAAATTATGAATTGTATGGATATCTGGAATTGATTGCACCCGGATTGAACCAACTGTGACATCATTGGGTTGGTCTTGTGGAGGCGGTCGGTTTAACCATAAACATGCTGAAATTGGAGCCTTGGATCTTGAACTTGAATATAAAAGATTCCTTATAAAAAATACTTTGAGATTCATGCTCGAAAATAATTTGTTGATGATGCATTAGTTATAATTAGGAATATCCACTGAAATAAGTGAAAAATTAGAACAATACCGGAAAATTTTAGAAGATAGAGAATTTATAGTTTGTAGAGAAAGATTTTTTATATAATATTTAATTTTAGGTTTGGTGTTAACATTGTCATTCAATATTATTGTAATATGATATGATAATTATTCGTGATAACTTCAATTATCTTAGTTATATTTTATTGAAAAATGGAGATATAAATGAAAATATAACTTCTAAAGTTAAGGTTTTTAAAATGAAGTGGCTTAGGTGCTTTGTCTGGTAAGAGAATATTAGCCTGAAAATAAAATTTTAAAAATTTCAAATAAAATTCTTAAAAATTCTAATTAGGCCAACCAAATTCTACAACTCTAAATGCTGGGTTATTAAAAAAAACATTAATATTTACATTGTGCATGACATAAATAAGAATGTTGAGATTGGTATGTATAAATTTAAAATATATAAATTGAAAATTATTCTACCAGAGGATATCTATTGATGATAAAATATTTCAAAATAGATACTTCTAATATGAACAACATGGTAAAAAATGTGTCCATTGGACGAGTAGTTAAAATATTGTGAGAGTGGGAAGGAGAGTACCTAAGATTAGATGAATATAAGTTATACAAAATGACTTTCAAGGAATATGTTTTTTTTTTTTTTCAGACAACGCTTAAATAAATGAATAAAAAATAGGAATTCATAAAGCTAATCCAAAATAGTCTCGAAACTTAATGATATTGATGATGAGAATTTATAAATGCAATTATCACAAGACCTTGAGAAAAGATTGAAAAAAGGAATATTATTCATTGAGGGAGTTCCCATGGTGCTTTCTTTCATCCAATGTTTCCATTTAACCATTTTGCATTTTATTAAATTTCTCTATTATTTAACTTTTATATTGTAATATGCTATTTCACAAAAGTTGCAAGATTCAAGCCATTGAAGCACGTTTGTTTTGGATCGTCAATGTAATGGTCAAATGAACTCCAAATTTGATATATTTATAGTCAAATCGAGCGTTTCAACGAGAGAAATTCAACATGCAAATAATCACTAAATTTCAAAGTCAATAAAGCACTCAATCGGTGAAAAATCTTATGATCAAGGGAGAACAATATGGGCTGCTCAATCAGGTGGTTAGAGAAGTTATTCGCCAAAAGACCAAAATGCTCCTATCCCGGAGGCTATAAATAGAACCCCTCTCTGCACTTGAGGGAGGAGGAGAAGAAAAGGAATTTTAAAGCCTATTCTGAACTGGAAAGCTAGCAATAACTTTTGACCTTCGTAGCCGCCAACCACCGGTGCTACTCGCCACAGCCGAATTCTTGCTATCAGATCCCCGTTTGCAAACATCATATCACAAATAAGGTTATAATGTATAACTTCAGTAATGAAGAACCCATTATAACTTCTAGCCTTCGTAGCAATTATCTACCATCGACCACCACTCGTTGGCCACTGTTAACCAACATCGATAGTCGCTGACTGCCGCCACCGACCTCTGACCAACGAAAGCCATTGTTTATGACTCTCGTATCCATAATAAAGCAATTGTTTTCAACATTTGAATTTTTTTACACTGTATAAAAATAAGTGCAGTGTTCAGTGTAAAATTGTAACATTATTCTCCTTAAGAGAATGGATCCAGACATCAACAACGGCCTATATGGCCAACTACTATAATTACAACTTTAAATAACAATTTCTGTGGTCAATTGATGTTATTGTAGCCACCAACTACGGCCTCTATGGCTAACTGACCTTATTACAACTTTCAACCATGACCTTTGTGGCCAACTACTGCAAATTGAACAACTAATTATAGCAGTTGTGGCCAACTACTGCTGTTACAACTTCCAACTATGGTCTTTGTGGCCAACTAACATTATTACAGTCACCACCTATAGCCTCTTTGGCTAACTGCCGCTACTGCCTCCACTAACTACAGCCTTTATGGCTAATTACTGTATTTATAACAATCTATTACGATTTTTGTGTCTATCTACTACTGTTACAATTTTTAATTATGACCAACTATCGCTATCACAGTCACTAACTCTAGCTTTTATGGCCAACTACTAATTTGTAACAACTAACTATGATTTTTGTGGCTAACTGTTTTCTATTATAGCCAACAATCACATTTATTTTAGGCCAATTATGACTATTATAGCTAGACTACTATTATACATGTATGAGTATCAGCTTTGTAATACTATTTTCTCAAATTTAGGAGAACCATAAAATTTGAACCAGTGTTTTATTTTGAACCAAAGCCAATTGTGCAGCACTACAATGCAGCACCATAAACCGGTGTGAGCACATGGAGCTTGCGCTTCACATGCGAGCCATGAGCAGTACTAGCAAATCACTTTGCTAAGCACATCCACAACACTTTTAAAACATTGCAACTCACAAAAGCCAACATCACTCAAATGCTCAAGAACTTCTTGTCATATGAATGCTCTAAAGCTACATTATCAATAAATTTTTGGTGCCCAACTGCCTCAAAATGCTAACCTTCCCATTGCCGATGCCAAGGGATAAAAATAAGGGCATTACCATAATATTCTCAAGAAGACATGTAAGAAGATCATGATCGTTCCATCCAAGCTAAAGTCCACTCACAAGATAGTAGGCCTGCTGTCTCTCCAAAACGTCTGGTAATACAACAAAATCCATGGACCATTAAAAATGAAGATAAGTGACGGATTAACAATACTGGCCTCCTAATTCCTAATCCAAATTCTTAAGCCAAAAAGCATGCACGTTCATAATGGATTTCAAACATGAGCTCAAATCACCAATGAATGCACCAGCCAAAGGAAGCACAGATAAACCTTAGCCCGCGTACTTGCAATCTTATCAAGCCGACCATCCTTCTCAGGTATCAAATATCAAATGAAAGACTATCTCAATTCATCAAAACGAAGAAATATGACAGAGATAAGAAAGTAAGCACCAGTAGGAGAGGACCAAGCGGCATGGACGACGCAGCGCTCCTGAACGTTAGAGCAGAAGCCGACGGTGATCTTGTTAAGGTCGCCGCGGATCACTGATCCATTCCAGACCGATGCGCCATCGCAGACCGTGACCTGACCAGCAAGCACCACGTTTGGGGCCACATAAGCATCCACGGCAATCTTAGGCAGCCACTGCCCTAACGGTACGATCCTCCGTTGCCCGCGATAGTCCCACTTTACGCGCTCATCCGACGGAGATGTCACAGCAAAGGAAGACGGTGACACCGCGGCCACCGCAGCTTCGGCGGAGAAGAGTCGGCGGAGAGGGGCACAATTGGCCAGGCCTAGGACTTTCCGAGAAAGACGTGTTAGCGCAACTGCCATTTTTAGGCCAACTAAGAATTCTACAGCTCGGTGTGGAGGTTGAAGGATGAAAGAGCAGGATTTGCTCGATTTGATCTAGGGATCGGACTTCGAAAGTGCAGCTGAGCCTGGCGTCGGGACAGGGATGTCATGAACCACGAGTGAGCCGCATTCCCCAGCGATATTACATGAAATTATTTTGCCGTCCGAACCGATTAGTTGTTATTGCCGCTCCATCGCGTGGAAGTATGACCCGTTTCATAAAATAACATGATATCTATAGATTATATTGGAATATAGATCAACCCGTCTATGTTTTCTGTTAACATGCATTCAACTGAACCATGATTTGACCCAAAATAAAAATTATTTAGCATTGCCTTTGAGCATTATGTTTTAAGGTAGGACAGCCACAAATCATAACTAAGCAAAAATTTTAAATAATTTTTACTTTCCTAATAATATAGTTATTGAGTTTAAAAGAAGTCTAAAGGACACATCACTAGATTTTTGCTCTACAAAGTTAAGTTCAAATTCTAGAGCTCGATTTATAAGTCTAATAAGTTTTGTTCGCGTACAATGAGGATCTTTCAAAGATCTTTTCATTTCTGTAGTTGGAAGATTCTTCATTTCTATAGCTCTTAAGCAAAAAATAAGGAAAGATAAATAAATTTAAGTATAAAATTCTAATGAAGGAAATTTTTATTATAATCATACTTTTTCATAAGTGGAGGATGGGTGTAAATAAGAAAAAATGATTTTAGAAAATTATAATTTAGGTTTTCACCATGGAAACAGAGTAGGAATCAATTTTAGATGATGTTAAATCCAATAATTCTAATATTACTTAGCAAATGCTTTTGATTAAATGTCAATTTAAGTGCAAATTTAACATCAATGCAAATATGAGTAACATAAAAGATTTGATATGTCACTTAAAGGGATGAATAGATGCATCATATATTTGTCTTAGGATTTTACAATCCTAATCAAGTCCAGGCAAGCAATATAATGATGAACAAGTAGATGTAATAAACACTAAATAACTTTCTTTGTTTTAGCTCAAATTGGATTATTTCAGAGCAATCTATGTTAAGAAAATCAAGTAGAGAGAATGACACTCGAGTTCATTTTTTATAATCACTCAAAAAGTTAAGAGGGCAAGTCATGCAAGTGGAGAATAAAGTGATAAGTTTTTAATCAATAAATTGTTGATGTTAGTGGGTCATACCTTTTTAATAATGAAGCAATGATAATGCAACTCACCTTCGATGTTCGGTTGGGAGCTTAAGATCATCTTTTAAGAATTTCCTAAAATATAACATGTGTTACTGATATTTTTTATGGATTAAATATATTATAAACTAAATTCAAAATATGAGATGACAATAAAGATGTTAATGAGCAACAAACTTCTAAAAAAACTTCACAATAAAGTGACTTTTAATGATAATATAATGAATATTGTTCAGATAAATGAATAATGTGAATCGGAGTTAAAAGAAGTGCATGTTTAAATTTGATATTTTTTAGATTGGAGGATTGATAATACAGCCTTAACTATTCAAATTATTTTAATTATGAGATCAAATATTTTTTCTCTTATCTATGTCAATTAACCATCTATGCAAAAGAATGGAATTGTTAACACTTCACCTAAAAATCAAGAATTTAACCAAAATATACTTTATTTTGGCATGTTGAACTTAGGTGTGCTCTTCATGATGGCTTTATCATGATGTATAAATGTTGGAGACAAAAGGAAAAAAATAAGAAAATTTTATGAACTTGCTTTATTTATCCTTAATACTATTAATAAATCTGGATCTTGAATATTGAAGACAACACAAATCCCAAAGCAAATTAAAATTGAAAAATAAAACTATTTCAGGAATTCTTAAAATATAACTTAGTGTTCGTTTAGGACCTATGATAAATATTAATGAACTTCATCGGGAGAAGAAGAAGCTTGAAAGTCAAAGTACCCTTACTAGTTTTTTAATAATATTTAGGCAATTTGAAAGGATATAATCCATTACATTTTTTTCATTGATTCTCCATAATTGCTTCTTAATAACACCTTAATTGATGACAAACATATAGAAGTGTCATTTATTTATGGTGATATGATATGTAAAATGGAATGCATAATTTTTTTATGTGTTTGCACATTTTTATGGATGAAATTGCAATTTAATGAAAGGTATTTTTATGTCTTTTTTAGGTATAACACGTATTAGAAGTAAAATAAAGTGGAAGAGAGATGGAGCAAAGTGTTAAAGGCTTGGAGCAAAGCAGCTCACAAGAGACTGGTGCCTAGGCATTTGAACCTTGAGCGCCTAGGTGCCAGTCTTTGCTCTGGAAACCGGAAAGACTGGTGTCTTGGCGTCAGCCATTGGGCACCAAGGCACCACCTTACTGGCACCTAGAAGCCACACCCATGGGTGCCAAAACGCCCCTACTGATTTATGCAAATAGAAAGCCTGATGCATAGACACCAGACCGCTGACACTTGAGCGCCAACAACTGCTGGAGTTAATATTTGGCAGTTTGACCCTACTTTGTGGGGAGTTATTCAGCCCGACAAGGAGCTATTATGAGGAGTTTATATAACCTATAGGATGTATCTTTGTAATGAGGAGGCAAGGTTTGTCGGAGAATTGAGTAGGATAGGTTTTCATTGGTCATTTAGTGAGGGTTGAGTTGTACTGTGAGGAGAGTATTCAGAAGAGCAGCAAGGGATCAGAGGATTCTTGGGAGACAACTCTCAGAGCTGTTTAAAGGAGAGAAAGAAAAGTATTATATATGTTTCTAATGGTATTTCTCTAATGGTATTTCTGTAAACACAAGTATTTAGTGGATTTTCGTATTTCCAATGACGCTTTTATGGTGTGTTCTTCATGCTTTCTGAGTAGTTCTCTTTTATTTTTCTTTGTGATGAATAAGTAGGACGTGTAGGAGTGCAAAATTTTTTAAAATTATTTCTTAAGTTTTTAAGGTGAAGAGTAACCTTTTATTCTTCATTTACTTTTCATTTTGGCCAAGTGAATTGTTAAAATGTGTTGTCATCCATAATGACTCGGAAGAGCAAGTACTTTCTAGGGAGATGCAAACATTAGGGAAATAGTCTTTGATAGGTATAATTTTTTATTTAAGGAATTAAAGTCAAATTAACTAAACTTCTATATTCACTCATGTAAAAAAGAGAGTTGTTTCTATTTTTCACTAGCTACATTCACAATTGACACATTATATTTCCTACACTCCACTTTTATCATTGAAAGGGAAAGTAACTCTATAACTTGTTAATCGCTAATCCAGTTAGAAAAAATATTTTTTTTTGTTGGATTTAACCTTTAAAATGGATTGCAACACTATAGTATTAGTTTGAAGAGCTTTATCCTAATCTAAATTGTAGGCTAAGAATTAAACCTAGTAGGCTATAACTTCTTTTAAGTCTAATTTCCTTGTTCTATGTGAGATCAATATTTCAGACTCAAATTTTGATATTACTGATATACCACATACACTTGGATGAGATGCCCTAGAGTGTGATTGCACATAGAAATAGGGTATCAAGTTTTTTGCGTTGTTGATGGGGAACGACGGTGTAGTTAACTTATGAGAATTTTAGGTGAACCATTTAAAAAAGACTTGGAAAGTTCTAGTATTAGTTTTTTGTGTGTAATTGTTTGTTTGTTTGAAAAAATTTTCTAAAATTATTTTGTGTGTTCAATTTGTGTGAAATCTACTAGTGAAGTCTTTAGTCAGTGAATGCGTAGTTTATGACCTTTAGGACTTAAACTCTATGATTGAGAACTAGAGAGAACTATTATAAGAATTAAAAAACTGAAAGGACTTCATGAACTTGTAGAAGAAATGATGAACAATCAACAAATCAATTTAGAAACCTAGGAATCAGTTAATGGTCATCATAATGCGCATAAACCATTAAGGGATTAAGTTAATTCTATGATAGATGAAAATCACTTTAAGTATTCAAACCACTAACATAGAGCTAGCACATTTAATCTTAAGCCTGCTATTATCCAAATGGTGCAGGACAACCAATTTAGGGGAACCCCTTCTGATGATCCTAACTTACACTTACCAAGTTTCTTAGTACTATGCACTACTTTTTACTACAATGATGTATCAAATGACGTTGTTAGGCTTAAGCTTTTTCCTTTTTCCTTAAGAGATAAGGCTAAAATGTGGTTAAATTAATTAGCACCTAGATCAATTAGGACATTGACTTACTTAGCCCAAAAATTCTAGCTAAGTATTTCCCGCCTTAAAAAATAACTAGACTTAGAAATGAAATTACTTCATTTTTCCAACATGAAGGTGACTCGATTTATGTGGCTTAAGAATGATTTAAGAACACGCACTACCTTATTGATTGATTATTAATACCTTTTACAATGGTTTAGTAGATCCCTTTGATCGATTATTGATGATGTCGCTGGTGGTTTGCTCATGTTAAAGGCATTTACTGAGACATTCTCTGATTGAAGAGATGACCACTACCAATTTTCAATGGACTTTTAGTACAATAAAATCTCAGAAGGTACCTAGTGTACATGACACTGATGTGCTTTCAATTTTAACTTCTCAGGTAGTAACCATATCTAGGAGGCTAGACAAATTTGGAATGAACCAACCTCAAGGAGCTCCAATAATTGATGAAAAATAATTTGGACAACTGGTTAATGCTAATAAATCATCATTTGAGACTCTAAATATGATTAAAATTAGACCTAACAAACCTTATTCCAATTTATATATTCTACGTTGGAAGAACCATCCTAACTTTAACTAGAACAACAATCAAGGTGGAGGAAACTAACAATAGAGAAAAAATCAAGCAAATCCTTTTTGAAATTTGAAATAACTAGGGTAGTGCCAGCTATAGACCTTCTTATCCTCTAGAATCTAACTCTAATCAATAGTTCAAGGTGAAGAAGCTACCTTAGGAGAAAGTTATATTACAGATGGGGAATCAACTGCAAAGTCAATATGCAATAATTAGGAACATAGAAAACCAGTTGATACGGATTACTAACTCACTTAGCACTCAACTCAAAGTACTCTTTATCGATCCCCAGAATGTTCCTCGTTTGAATTTTTTTTTTGAATTTAATTTAATCAATGTATAATTTTTTTAAAATAGTAATTTGATACATCAAAATAATATATTGTTTTAAGCACATATTTTATGTTAATTTTTAGTGATATTGCACT